TACACACACACACACACACACACACACACACACACACACACCCTAGCACATCCCACATGCTCTTCTTTTGTAAAGTTTGTACAGAAAATCAGTATCAGCTCCCAGGGGACCTAGCGTCTTCTTAAAAATTCGTTCAACTTCTGCCATCTAGTATTTTTCAGACAGGGATTGGGACATGGCTTTTTCCATCACAAAGAAGCATCTCAGGGTCTCCTCTAACCGTCTCATCTTCTGTAATTGTGCCCCAGTGCACTGGCCACACCGCATTAACTATAACCTGAGCTTTAGTTAAGTGGTAATCTCTATTTACTACCCAGGGAGAACTTGAACATGATGAAATTCCAAGGCCCTAGTGGTTATTCTCAGCAAAGGCATCTAAATTAGAATCTAATTTTGTTTTGCCCCACTTCCTACTTATAAATTAAGAGATTTTCTTTCAGACAACACAGCAGGCTAAATGGGATCAATCAGTTGTTCCTGATGAAATCTTTGTTGTAGCCCAGTTTATATCCTGCTTCTGCAGTTAGATAATATTTGCTGAGATCTCCATCTCCATAGCCTATTTAGATTTATTGAGGACCCCTGTGATTATATGTACTTTATTCCTGGGTTACAGTCCCATCTTCTGATGCAATCTTAGAAGCAAAGTTTTAAAAAGCAATAATCACTTAGGGTGACCTGGTGCTGGAAAAAATAATCTGTTTATTTAATCTATCTTTGCTCTGTAAACCAGAAGAAATAAGACTGAGTTTCCTACAGTAACATTTCATAAAGTGTTAATTGAACTATTAAGGTTCTTGGGTTTTGTCTTAGTTATTTTCTTGTTGCCAAAACAAAATGTACAACACCCAAAATTAAAGGAGGAAAGATTTGTTTAGTTTGTGGAGGTTTCAGTCTGTAATTGGCTGACTCGAGGGCAGGGTGGCACCTGGCAGAGGGAAAACAGTTTATGGTGATAGAAAACAGCTAAAATAACAAGGCGGAGAGTCAGACAAGACTCTTTCTGCCCCTTACATTGTATGCAGAGTGGGTGTAGCACTCACACCCTTAATTTTAGCCATAACTATGCCAAGTCAGTCAGTGGCCTGACTTACTAATCACACACTTAATCTCAGCATCACACACTGTAGCTGAATCTACCTCTGAAAAATTCCAATGACTGCTGGAGGCTTTCACACAAACCATAAAAGTTTTTATTTGTTTATTTTGTTTTTCTTGAGAAAGATTTTCATTGGCAAAAATCTAATCTGGGAAAAAACTAATTGGAAGGAAAGCCTCATTTTATTTTTGTTTGTAAGTGCTTAAGTGATTTATAAGTCTTGAGATGTCTAAAATACTTTAGTGGAATATATTTGAAGAGACATCACTTATATTTCTGAGCTTAAATGAAAATTTTCCACATTAATGATATAGCAAAGCACCTGCTAATGCCTTATAGGGAAGGCATTCTAAATATATATATGTATATATGTTATGGTTCAGAAAATACCTTAATCAAATCAACAGCCCATAGCCCCTCACCAGCTTCTCCAAAGGGCAACATTCTAGATTTCGAAAAAGCAAAGCAACAACTGAATTATTTGGGTCTTACAGGATTTCTAAATATAGCTTTTGTCTCCATATTTGAACTTATAGCTTGGGGACCTAAGCAGAAGGAAAAGACAAATATTCATGGGTCTATTGTATCATATTAAAATTGTAGATTTGTTTAGAAAAGTGTATTACTGCTGTGGACAGGAATATTCTGGTGGATAGTAATATCAGAGGAAAAAAACTGTTGTCTTTCCATGGCTGGGGTCTGCCCACGAGTTGTGTGATTATCAGGGGATGGGGAGATAGGATCACTTTCTGAGTTAGGGATGGAAGGTATGGACTTCCTTTTGTCACATTCAATAACACTTAGATCAAAGAATATAATCATATATTAATGTCTCTGAAGAACTACTTTTCTTGAAACATTGCCACATTATTCCAATATATTCCCTGAGTTGTTCATTGTCCTATCCTCTGTTTACATCCCTCTGGACCTAGTCACCTCAGCTGTCTTATGCTTCTTAATCCTACCAGTCAGAGAAAAAGAAAAATTTAATTTGCTTTGCATCAATGTCGATTTAATTCTAAGACCTGTATCTTGGACTTGGGAGACATTTACTCATTTGCTGTCAGGTTCTCCACAGCATCTCAAGATCATAAAAAGAGTTTCATTTCATGGATAACACCATATCACTGGGGAGAATCCAGGCAGTAGATTCCGGCCAACACTGTTTAGCCTGAGGGATCCCACTGTTTTGGATCCCCTGATTTATTTAAAACAGCTTGGCTAGCGCAGACCCTCTGACTCTTTGTGGAGGCTGGAGGTCCTCTTTGAAGGATCTGGCCTTGCCTTGGCTGGCCATTTGTCCTCAAGATCTTCCGCCATACAGAAGTGCTAAACAGTATGGAGAGCTCCGTGTCCTGGCCTGAGACCAGGGGTCTCATCACTCTTTAGCAGTGTTCCCAAGGGAAAATGGGAGAGCCTAGGTGTCCAAGGTAAAGAAAACAGCAGAGCTGTCTTAGGTTAGTTTCCCTCCAAAGTGGACCCTGAGTCAAGCCTTTGGGTCCAGGTGATATATTAAAGGAAGCATTTCCAGAATCAGCCAGTAACTGAGTTGGAAAGGAGCTATAAGAAAGGGAAAGACATCAAACAAGATTTTCAACTAAACTCCTAAACTCAGCCTAATCTCATAGGGATCATAGGGAGCAAATGACAACTCAAGAAATAGAAAGCAGGCTTTTGTACTTCCATACCCATCGGTCACCAGTTACAGGCTGCCCTGGGTGGGTAAGAGGGGATAAAAATCAAGGAAATTTTTAGCTCTTACTTTGGGCAAGATGGTGCCTATGCTAAAGGACTGTCCTCTGAAAGTTACAGGTACAGAATAGCGCACATAGAGAAGTTAAGAGTCTCGGTACCCTGATTTGGTAAAAGGATGTGAAGGGACTTGGATGGGGTGGCAATAGCGCTCATGCAAACACCATTACAAAGATGTCACCTGTGCCTTTGTAAGATGGCATCACATATGGCTTCCCTGAGAAAAAGAGAATGAAGAACAGGAAAGTTTTTTTCTTCAAATGTTTATGTGAAACAATATTCCAGAAAAATGCACTGATGACTGAGTTTTTAAAATAGCACATATGGGTGACATGAAATGATGAATTTATCTTGGTATATTCATCCATGCACATAACAATATTTTAATTATTTTCATCCCCATTACACCCTCTGTCTTTTCTGCCCCTCATCCTGCTCTCCTTCCTCATCTCTAGATGGCTATCTTCTGCTTTCCTGCCAGTGACTATTTTTGTTATGCAATGGCATGTAGGGACATGCTAAACTTAGTGTGCTAGGTCCCCATGCTGAGTCCACAAAGTAAATGTGCTATTTATTATTAATCACAGAATATCTTACTTAGCAATGCAGGAGCTTGTTTCTCCTTCAGGCCCGGAATACAGGTGTTTTAAATTCTCAATTGGCCTTGCCTGGAAATACGCGTCATATTGAGAAGAAATGGAACACAAAACCTTTGAAAAATCAAAAAGGAAGGTATCATGGATCTGTTCGATGGGGAGATGCAAAGGTTTCTAAAAAGGGAACACATGGTGGAAAAAAAGACAATTTTGAAATCTACCCACGGGGAGGATCTCTGATGAGATGGAGATGGTCTATGTACCCATCAGGAAGATGTCTAACTGGGAGAGACAAGGGAGGGAAGGAGGAAGTCTTAGAACTCTCCTCAAAAGTATAATGAGGCAGTATGTGCCTTGGAAAATACAGGAAATGAGAGAGAAGAGAGAATAATGTCCCACGGCTGTTTGATATAGGAATATAATTTTAAGGCTTTATTGTGCAAGATTAAAAATACAAATGTACAGATACCATACTTGGTACCCAGATGTGTGAATCAATGCAGGTGTGGAAATTCATCATGGGTAAACATTACCTTAGCCACCATATGGGGAAAGCAATATTGGACTATGCCCAAAGAAGCTTAATAACCATTTCATAGCTCATTATTTCTCCTCTCCTCTCCTGGGATGCCACTTATATATTTATTTGGTTTCTCTCTACAGCCACTGTATCTCTTATATTGTTCGGCACATTTTTCACCTTTTTCTCTCTTTGGACTACATTCTGAAATTTTTCTTTTAAGCATTCCTTCACGCTATTAATATTCTAGCTCTGTTGGATTTGCTGGTAAACTCATCTGTTGCATTTTTAATTTAATGTCTGCCATTATACCTGTCAGCTTTAGATTTTTTTCCTTTGTTTATATTCTAGTATTTATAGTTATTTGCTGAAGTTCTTGATTTTGCATTCTATTGACTTGAATACATTCAGCCTTGTTACTGTTAAGTGGTGTCAGAAAATATTATGGCTTATATCTTGATGTCCCCCCAAAGCCTCATTCAGTCATAGGTGGGGCTTTTCAGAGGTGGCTGGATCTAGGATGTGTGATTCTAGGGTTAAGGATGTGATGCTGGGATTGATTCATGGTGTGATGCCAGGGTTAAGGCTTCCCCAACCTGCGTGTGAGTACTATCTATGCTTAGGGACAGAGAGAGGGATAGGATATAAAGTACAGAAAAAAAAAAAGTCCCTGCTGTTGCTTGATATTTTGCTGCTTTGCTGCCTCTGCCTTCCATAAACAATTTCTCCTTGGCAATGCCCCCCGTCACGCCACTCTGCCTTGGAACCAGCCAATATGAACTGACACCTCTACCATGTGTGAGCCAATTAAACCTTTCTCCCTTTAACTTTGGGTGTCAGGTATTTTGTCTCAGCAATGAGAAAAATAAATAATATAGACAACTACATTATCTGGATCCTTCTGTAAGTTTTTTTCTACTTCCTATATTTTTCTTAATTTTCAGGTCTTTCCTTCTGTCTTAGTCAGTTGGGACTGCTATAAAAGTGTACCACAAACTGAGTGATTTAAACAAAAAACCTTTATTTCTCACAGTTCTGGAGTCTGGGAAGTCCAGGATCAAGGCGCTGGAAGAATCATTGTCTGGTGAGGGCCTGCTTCCTGGTTCATAGATGACTTTCTCTGGCTGTATCCTCACACGGGGGAAGGAAGGAGTAAAGGAAGGGAGCTTTCTGGGTTATGTTTTCTAACACGAGAATCCCATTCGTGAGGGGTCTACCCTTATGACCTAATCATCTGCTAAACACTCTACCTCCTAATATGATTTTGGGGGCTACGATTTCAGAATATGAACTGGGGAGAAGAGAAACAAGCATCTAGTCCATTGCACATTCCATTGGATTTTAACATAAAAGTGTAACATAGCTCTAATCAGGTAACATTTCATAAGCAATAATTCAGAACCACGTAATAGTTCCCTATTCTAACAGCTTATCAAGTTTAATTTGCACCATTGGTTTAATTATAGCTTTTTGGGGGATCAGAAGTAAGGAAACGTTATATGAAAAGTACACATGTGATCTGGTTTCAGGCATGCCAGATTATAAAAGGACATGCATCTGAGAGTCTTAGAAGTGCAACAGTGTCCCTCAGCCTTATGCAGAGGAGTTTATGTATTCCAAGGTATTCAGTAAGTCTTTTAAAGTCTCCTCAATGAGAAAAGATAGAATCTGAATTTCTCTAACTCTTTATGACCTCCCAGGACTCAAGAACTGTCCAAATTTCCTGTTATTTAAACCCACATTACATACAAAAATATATAAGGGGTAATCAAAGTATATAGTGAATGCTTAAATTAAAAACAAATTATAATAAAAGGCCCATTGCTATTAATGCCCCGCATAATAATCTCCCTCACTTCAAACACTCTTCTGCCATCATTTTTGTCACTTTCTGCAGCAGTTCTAGAAGTCCTCATCTGTGAGTGTGTCCTTAAGGGTGGCTTCATGAAGGTGAATGCCGCCTGCACAGTGCCAACCAATGAACGGGCTGGCTCATAAAAACGTGTCACTGTGTCCTCATCCAACTTACTCACCAGATCAGGCACTGTGTGGCTCCCGGCTCTTCCCCAAATTCAGACTATCCGTGAGAAGTAAATGTTTTAATCAATTTAGGACTTTGAGACAAGCATAGCAATGCTACTGAAGACATTCACAAAAGAGGACTTTCAGAACTGCTCCAGAGCGAGGCAAGAAGGATGGGATGAGTGCGCCCGAAGCCAGGGGAAATATTCTGGGGGAGATTAATGGCAGTGTGTTTTTACTGTGATAAAATTTTCACATTTAAACCTTCACATGTTTTGTTCCCACCTTGTCTGACCCGTGGGACTCTGTGAATGGTAAATCATGAGGCAGAGGTCTAGAAGGACGTGGAAGTGCTTCCTTTGCTCATTTATCAAAACTGCCGATAGGCAGGATTTCACATCTTTGTGTTTTCTCAGTATTTCAGGGCTGGCCTTAAAGATCAGCAAATCTTTCTTGGCCAGGAACTTTAGCAAAGCTCAAGAGGGATGAGCACCTGGACTTGAACTATACCAATCAAAGCTCTTTGGTAGTCTAACTGGCTGCCAGAGCCAGGGAGCCCTGTGGGGTAAGATTAAGTGAAAAACACAATCCCATGTGAACAGAAAGCCATGCCTTCGTGCCATTAGATTGTTGCTATATGGGCATACAGGTCCAGAATTTTCAAACTTACATCATGTTAAAAGTCATATTTTTGTGTGAAATTCTTCACTTTTTATGTTGGAAACTAATTCCATTTTTTTTTTAAATTGCAGATAGAATGCATCATTCCTCCCCTCCCCACTACTGGCCTTTGAGTCTAAGGTCTTTGTAACAAGCTATATCCTTTGCCCTTTTTATTTTTAATTTTTGATTTGAGTCAGGCTCTTGCTAAGTTACTAAGTTGCCCAGGGTAGCCTCAAATTTGCCATCTTCCTGCTTCAGCCTCCCAGAGCATTGGCATCAGAGGTGCATACCACCCACTTGGCTGAATACGCCATGCTTTTGAGGTGACTGTAATCACTGGACCCCATTGGATGCACTCCAGGCTGTATGTTCAGAACAGAATGAATCTGTACTAAAAAAGCAGCCTTCTCCCTGAAGCAACACATACCACTTCCTCTGCCTCTTCCTCCCACATCACAGTGGTATTCCTGAAAATATCAGTATTGGGGTTTTCTGAGTCCATTTATAGAATCTAAAAACACACTGTCCTCTTTTATACCACCTCAGTATTTTTAAATAGTTGCTCAATGGGGTCTCTTTTTCACTTAAGATAAATTTTAGAGTCACCCATCAAAGATATTGCTTGTAATGCACAGCCCCAAAGCCCACAGAGTATTACCAGTCATCTTGCCACATGGTTTATGGACAATCTCAGCATAGACAAGCCACTCATCTCACTTACAGTGGCGATCTTCCCAGATTGCCCAAAGGAAAGACAGTTACTTATTTTTAATTCGCCAATATTTTAGAATGATTTGTCAGGAGGCAAGCAAGTTGCTTGGAAGGTAATTGGGGCATTCAGGGAAAACAAGTGTGTTAAATGCATAATTGCATTATGATGGTGGAGGTGGGGGATATTTCCTAGGGATGAGCCTGTCTGTTAGAAGATATAATTAAAAAGAAGTCAGGAGGCTGATAGAGTGATTGATAACTGAATTCAGTTATTAAAGATTGACTTCTTCAAGGAACTCACTGTCTTTCCTTAGGCAAGTCATATTCCAAACTGAGCCATAATCTATTTAAGAAAAATATGTTACCTATCTGATAGAATATTTTCAGACTGTATCTCAGATCCTGTTCAGTGCTCAGAATAGCTAGTAATGTCATTTCTAATTTAAGTAGTTGTCCAACAGGAGTTAAAGAATAGAAATACCTTTGTAATGAATATTGAATGTACAGATGGAAAATTTTATTTGGAGATAAGAATAAAATCATTGTATTTCTGCAACAAATGTATCTATTATCCTCTAATATTATCTCCTAGTTTTTTTAACTTAAACTTTCAGCACTTTTGCTTTTGAAGATGAAATATAAAATATAAATTTAGTTCATGCATGCACTTTTGGTTCTGATCAATTCTACTTTCTGGGTACAGCATAAATAGAGAACTGAATAATCTAGTTTAAATTGTCCAAGTGTTAGGGAATGAAGGCCCTACTACAACATCAAAAAACAATAACATCTGTATACTGATTTTAAAGTCTAGGTGAAATACCTATTTTGTCCAAGCTTGCTTGGATCCTACAGTTTGAAAACAAAAGGAATAAGATTATATGAGGGTCAGATCTGGCATCAAATTTGTTTATATTTATAATGAAATATTTCTGAGTTTAAGAATAAATCATTAAAACAGGTCTAATCCATATATTTTTGATTATGAGATTTCTCTTGGTAATTCTCTGGAGCACCACATAAGCAAGCTCTGTATCACTGTATTTTTAATTTAATCAAATATGAAAAGATTCTATTCTAAAATTGGATGACTCATAATTTTTAACAGTTCTTTTTTTCTCTCTCTCTTTCTCTTTCTCTCTTACATTTCACTTTTAGTTCTGGAAGAACGAAACTGTTCAGACCTTGGAGGCCCAGTCAATGGATACAAGGAAATCACTGGAGGCCCTGGGCTTCTCAGTGGGCGATACGTAAAAATTGGCACTGTTGTATCATTCTTTTGTAATAGCTCGTATGTGCTCAGTGGCAATGAGAAAAGAACTTGCCAGGAAAATGGAGAGTGGTCTGGGAAACAGCCCATTTGCATAAAAGGTAACTTACGGAGATGTCTGGATTCTGTAGACATAGTTGCTGTACTTTCTGGTAGCTCTCATGCATGCTTTTAAGCCCCTGGAAAAAAATATATTTTTACACTTCTTCCTGGAACCATATATAGCCCTTTGGTTGGAACTCATCACTAAAAACAATTGCTTCCTTTATCTGGATATGGGAAGGATCTACTTACTTTATCCACAATATCTTCAGGTGTCGGTGAAGAGTGATGGAGTTATCAGAACATTCTGGGGGAAAATGACAAGGCTGAAGTTTGTGTATTTTGTGCACATTCTGTCCAAGAGTAAAATTTTATAAGCATTTACATAACCATGTTATCTACCCTCAATGCAGTATTAAGTAATGCAACAAATACAAAAACCAAGAGGGCCATCATCTCTGGCTGCTTATGTGGGAATAGGTTAGTTAAAATATGTTGTTTTAACTAATGTTAAAATGTTAAAAAAAAAAAAAAAAAGTAAACCCTTGAACATTCAGGAGATAGTTCTAGGAACAAGGGAGTAGCTCAGAAGAAGGAGACATCCTCAGTCCTGGAATGAGGATAATCACATGAAGCAGCTAGGATTGGGATCAGCCTGGAAAACAGGAAAGATTTGGAAATGTGAAGAGAATTAAGCATGATGTTCCAGATAGAAGACAGAGGAGAACGTAAGAGATATGAGAAGTGAAAGAATCCTGGTGATCTCATGGTGAGGTAATCTGGGGAGCAAATTTTAAAATGTAGGTTGGAAGCAGAAAAATGGAATGTCGTGTGGACAGGCGAGAAGTGTCCTCACTACAGTAGGGATGCATGGCTTCTTGCAAAATTTACTCACTAGTTGCGTCAGGTTAGCAGCTCCTCTATTTGGGGGACAGGTCACAATGATCTGGCTGTTTACTGGCAGGAAAAGCATGTTCTTGTCCTAGATTATCCAGATAATTGTCTCCATCCTCCACTTTCCCTTCTGGGTGTTTGTCAACAACCTGGATCCTGGGAAAAGGAATGAAAGAGAATGGTTTGTGAAAGGAATAAATCACTTTAGACTTTAGCCAGAAACAACTTTCATCCCCACCAGCAGAGAGTCTGACGTTTTATTTCATTAAGTATGAGAACAGTGTCACATATGTCCTTGGAGTTTTTGTCAACTCTCCTCTTACAAATTAATACAACCAAAGTACTCTAAGTTGCTAATTAGACAAATGTTGGCTACTTGATTGAGAAAGTGAGATGGAAAGGATTCCTTTTCACTAGTGGAGAAAAAAAGACTTCAATAAAATTAAACAGGGCTTTGAGCTGTCCTCCAGCGACTATTAGGGACCTTAATTGCAGAGAAAGGACATGGAGGAACCAGTTACTCAGGACTTGTCTATGATTAACACTGATATCTGGTTTTAAATGACAGCCTTTTAATTCCCTGTGTGGGCTTGATTTTAGATCTTTCAGGGGCTGGGGATATAGCTCAGTGGCACAGCACCTGCCTAGCAAGTGTGAGGTCCTGAGTTCGATTCCTGGTCCAAAAAAAAAAAGTAAAATAAAAAAGAAACTTCAGTTTGTATCTTTTCCATTGTGATCAGGTTTGCTAATACTACTCACATGAGCAGATACTCCTAACCCATTAACCACTGCTGTCCCGAATCATCTAGGTGGAGTAGCTCTCCAGAGGCATCTACTGAGATCTTTGAAGGTGACTATCAATTTAGGTGAAAGACAACATGCTCCTTTGCTAAGTGAAATGTTCGGGCTTGGCTGATGTACCTTGCCTCTGAGCCTGCGGAAATGAGCACCTGGTATCCAGAAGGGTGGGTTAGGTAAGAATGAAGTTAGTGATGTGAACAGTGAACATGGGAAAGGATTATGCAGCCTTTCTGTTTCATTCTAGCCTGCCGGGAACCAAAGATCTCAGACCTGGTGAGAAGGAGGGTTCTTCCAATGCTGGTTCAATCAAGGTGAGTTAGAAACACCTGAACTTTGCTTTCAAGGGTAATGAGGATTTCCCCTCCCTTTTCCTTTTATCCACTTGTGTTTGGCCAAATACAGTCTGGGGTTTCTTAGGGACATTGAATGCTAAATAATCACGAAAGAATAGAGCTTGTTAGATGGAAGCTCATTAGCCAGCTGCCTTTGGCCAAGAGGTAGTAACTGTTGGAATATGTACAAATTTTATTGGATCGTGGGAAAGTAGATGGTTGATGAGAAGCAAGACTTTCAGAATTTTTTCTCTGAGAGGCTGGATTTTAATAGTGAGTCTTCTGAAGTATGTTATATTTATTGTGGCAGCTCCTGGGAGCTGACATTCCTACTAAATGTCGCTAGCTGTCGTTTAGGAAGATGTTCTTGGTGGTTACTAACCAGACAAGGCAAGCAAGTGGAACCCAAGCACTAGAGATAAGTCCTAGATGAGGGAGACAGCGTGCCAGGCTTCTCTCCTGGTGGGGAGACAGTAGGTCCATTTCTACTAACCTCTTCTTCCACATTCTTTCCCCTTCTCTTTCTCTACTCCAGTAACACAGGCCTCCTTTGTTTCCCTCTATCATTCCAAGTGCAACTCTTTACACTGTGACTTCTTCTGTCTGGAGCCTGCTTCCACTGAAAGTCATCAAAGCTCTGTTCTCTGCTCCATTTTCTTCTGGGAGTAAGACCTTCCCCAACTGCCCCTTTGCCAGGCTGACTCCTTTACACACGTTCTCTGCCCTTTACCATTTTTTTCTTTTCATCTTAGCATCCCTCTCTACCTATTCATTCTTTCTCTATCTCTCCTTTCTCTCTCACCCCTCTCCCATAGATCTATATCATCAATATCTATTTCTGTACTTGCATCTGTATCTATTGGCTACCTTACATTGCCAGGACAAAATACCTGACATCTGCAGCTTGAAGAGGGAGAGTTCATGGTTGCAAAGGTTAAGTCCATGGCTGGCTTGCTGCAAGGCAGAAACATCATAGTAGAAGAGTGTGATAGAAGAAAACTGCTAAACACATGGCATTCAGGAAGCAGATTGGAAAGAGCCAGAGAGAATGGGCTAGAACCACACATAGCCCTAAGGTTATGTCTGCATGACCCTGCCTCCCAATAACCCATTTGGCTATGGCCCCATAGCCCAATTGCCTTTCCAGGTGTCTCTTAATTCAGTCAAGCTAATTATTAGCATGAACTGACACACTGCCTGCCACTCCAAATGGAAAAGTAGCAAGTATGGGAACCTTATGTTCCCTGTTCATGCTGAAGTTGTAGTGCCTGAAACATAGAAGACATCCTATAAGTGTCTATGGAATGAATGAATTGGATTGGCAATCAAGGTTTCTTGTACTGTTTTTAATCTTAGGTGTTCTAAGACAAGTTCTTAAACTTGTTAAGCTTTAGTTTCCTCTTTTGAAAAAAAGGGATAATTGTAACAGTCACTAGAGATTATGCCACATTAACAGCTAACACTTCCTACATGTTTGCTGTATGCCAGGTGGTCTTCTGAGTACTTACACATATGAGTTCATTTAATCCTCACTGTAACCAATGACATATGTATTATAATAAGTATTATTCACTTTTTATGACCATATTTATTACACGGATAAACTGAGGTACAGAGAAGTTGTTCCATGTCACATTGCTGGAAGTGACAAGGTTAGATGTAAACTCAGTCTTTGGCTTTGAGGTCAAAATTTGTGCCCTTACATACTAGGTTTAGTGCTTATCTGAAATGTCAGGAAAGCACCTGTGCCCGTAATCATCCATCAGAGGCCCCTGCTATTAGGAATGGTCACAATGAGTCCCAGGGAGCCGCAATAACCCAGAATACGTCTAAGCAAGCACATCTATCAATCTTTTATCCCTCAGGTTTTCTCATTCATTTTTTATACAAGCAAGGCATTTTCTTGGGAATAGTGGTCAAAGGACACAAACTCTGCCCCTCTTCTGATCTTTGAGATTTCCCTGGGCCAGCCTCTCCTAAAGTGGAATCTACCTATTCTACCTAAGGAGATACCTTATAGAGAAACTTCACATTATCTCCAAAGATCACCAGACTTCTTATTTTAAAGGCAGTCCTAATGGGAGATCAGGTGGCCATGTACCAAGTATCTCAGAGATGAAAGAAAGAAGCCTAAAGCTTGGTTTTAAATACCTTTCTGAAAACTAGGCTGCTGAAGTGGGATACATCTATTCCCAGAAGCAGGGTTCACCTAGAAGCCACCAAAAACTTAACAGACCTTTAGTGACCAACAGATGAGTTTTTTTTTCTTTTCCAAGTTTGGAAGCACCCAAAATTACAGAACTGGATATAAACAAAACACAAATATTCGTTGAGTGCAATCACTGCAGATGGAATATTTGCTCTGAGCCAAGCACTTTAGAAATACATGAAATAGATTTCTTACAATAATATGAAATTGGCATGGTAGAGATACCAGGGTGAAAATTGTGCCTGCTAAGCACTGTCTTGGGTGTCCTCTTCCTTTGCTGAGTGTCATTGGGAACTCTCACTTCTCTGGGCTTCCTTTCTTTCTCCATTAAATGAATATGAAGACCTACTGATTCCTAAAAGAATTCTAACTTGCCAGTTGACAGTCATTATGCACCAATATAAAATGAACACAAGCTGTACAATGTGTACAGATCTCCTCTAAGACCCCTGAGTGGTCTCAGGGGCCTCAAATTCAAGGCTCATTTAATATCCTTTTTCCCATTTATACACAATGCTTCATATTTCTCCCATTCAATGTTCCATGAGAGAAACTTCTATTCTCTGAGGTGAACTAATTATATCTGCTAATTGCTAAATCAAGCTACTGTATCAACACAGTTTAGTTCAAGTCAACTCCTAATACTGCCCCATTATAATAATGTTTAGAGAAAAACTGGGCCTGAATTCTCTCATTCAAATTAACTTCCTTTTTTGTTTAACTTTGCAATTGAATGTGAGTGTGTGTGCGCGCGTGCGCGTGCATGTGTGGTGTACTTTGGATAGCAGCTATTATGTCAGATACTGTTCTCCGTGGTTAAAAATTCTAAGCAGTTGGAAGCATGCCAGAAATGGAAATGGAGGAATAAGAAGATTGAGGTGTGCATAGAATTTACAACAAGTGAAGTGTGTCTGTGTGTGTGTGTCTGTGTGTGCATGTGCGTGTAAAGACACTGACGCATACAGAGATAGAGACAGAGACAGACAGAGAGACAGAGACAGAGAGATACAGAAACAGAGATAGGCAGAACCCGAGAATGAGCCACCCACTTTTTCTCTTCTGTAACCAAATGCCTGCATGGAGATGGACGTGGATGCTAAAGAGGCCACAATAACAGCTTTTGTTCTGCTCTCTCTCTCTCTCTCTGGACCCACGTGCCCCAACCCAGGGAGACACCATTACACCAGCTGTACTCAACAGCCTTCAGCAAGCAGAAACTGCAGGATGCCCCTACCAAGAAGCCAGCCCTCCCGTTCGGGGACCTGCCCCCTGGGTATCAGCATCTGCACACCCAGCTCCAGTATGAGTGCATCTCACCCTTCTACCGCCGTCTGGGCAGCAGCCGCAGGACATGTCTGAGGACAGGGAAGTGGAGCGGGAGGGCAACGACCTGCATTCCTAGTGAGTCCAGGCTGTGTCTGAGCCAGAGCTCTTCTGTCTTCCAAGGCTGCTTGTGAAAGCCTGTTTTTCTCGTGAGCACATTTTGGGAAAATCTTGTTCAAAGCGATGGTCCTCCATTGCCTTCCTTTGTTTAGTGTTGTTTGAAACTTTCCACAGTCAGAACTTCTTTTCTTGGGCATAAACTTGTACCCAGGAAGAACTTACTCCATAAGTCTTAGAAACATATTTTCCTGTGAGTAGTTTTACCATATTTACTTGAAGGAAAGGGAGGGAACAGTAATTAAACACCAAATGGAGAAGGGTTTAAAGGTGCCAGAGCACCTCAAGTTATTTCATTCTGGTCACGCTAGGCTAAAGTTTTCATACCCATCATCCAATGGTATCAGTGGGGTAACTGTCAATTAATGAGGTGTTAGTTATCTCACATAGGTTTGATGGTAAATATGAGACAACTGCTGAAAATGTCTGGAATAGTAACTTAGACTTACTAAGCTACATTGCCCATCCTTCTTTATGAAAGGTACAATTGAATTTATTGTTGTCGCATTTATGATATTAATCTTCTAAGAATCCCATGAGACCATTGTAACTATTCTATCCATTTTACAGGCAGTAAAACTGAGACTCTCATAGATAAAGGCAATGCATCCTAAGTCTTATCATTAGTACATGCCTGAGGTCAGACACCACACTTTATTTGACTGAAAAGCCTCCAATATTAACTTTAGACTTTACAGCCAATGAACCAGGTTCAGTGGCATAGTGCTAATGGTACCCCATGATTCACCCTTCCAGATTTGTGCTCTCCTATCTGTGTGACACATTCCCTTTTGGATGGGAAAGGTCTTAACTTATTTTACTGAACTGATGCTTTCTTCATAGTCTGTGGAAAAACTGAGAACATCACTTCTCCAAAGACCCCAGCCAGCCGCTGGCCATGGCAGGCAGCCATCTACAGGAGGACCAGTGGGATGCAGGACGGCAGCCTGCATAAGGGCGCCTGGTTCCTGATCTGCAGTGGTGCCCTGGTGAATGAGCGCACTGTGGTGGTGGCTGCGCATTGCGTTACTGACTTGGGAAAGGTCAACATCATCAAGACAGCGGACCTCAAAGTTGTCTTGGGAAAATTCTATCGGGATGATGACCGGGATGAAAAGACCATCCAGAGCTTACGGGTGAGAGAGGGCTCAAGTTAAAAAGTGGGGATCTGGCTTAGCTAGCTCCAAGTAGTGGAGAATGGTGGCATATCATCTGTCACCTTAGCATGCCAGTTGTTGTGCCACTGAGCCTCAGAAGGAGCTCAGTGTTTCACATCAGCAGTTCAGAAAGTAGCACTTAAAAGGATCATGAAATCTTAAAAATTAAGGTAGAGACAAATATCTACTATCAATGTAGCCATCAAAAGTCAATCATGTCAGAGTAAAATATACTATTAGCATATATGATAAATTGTAACAAATTAAAGATTAGTAAAATCATTTGATCAATGGCTTACTCTCCCTGAAACCATCTGCTCCATAGATGTTGTGATTTGTCTTTGTATTCTTATAGCCTAACACAGTCCCTAAATCATAATAGATTAGTAAATATTTCTTGTATAACAAAAGGATATTAATTACCTGTTACAGTTGGGAATTGTCCTAGACTTTGAAGACACAAAAACATTTTATCCAAGATTTTCCTAACCAGTTTACAATATACTTCTCTCTTGTCCTGCCCCCTCCATCTCTATCTCATCTGTCTGTCCATCCACTCACCCATTCCCCCATCCATCCATCCATCTGTCCATCCATTTATACATCCATCCACCCCAGCTCACCCATCTGTCCATCTGTCCACCGCCTACCCATCTGTTCACCCATTCATCCACTCTTCCTCTGCTCTAACTTTCCAACCCTCTGGTCATCTGTTGTTGTGCTCCCACCATGTGGCACTCATTGGAAATTGATACAGTAAAAAATAACACATAGCTGTTTTCTCTGAAAAGTTCGTACTAGTGGAGAGACACAGACCAATGTGTCATGATCAGTATGACACAAGAGAAGCCTCTAGCAAATGCAATAGAAGTAATGGAACATATACATTAAGAAATATTTATACTTTAGGTTTCTTGTGTATGAGTAACCATATGATATCTAAGCTCACATGCCTGATTTATTTCACTTAAAGTTATTTTTTTTTTTATTTAAGAGGAAAAAGAGAAAAACACAAAACAAACCAAAGCGGCGTAAGGGTACACGCAATACAGAACTACAAAACAAAACAAAACAAAACAAAACAAAAAACCGTAACAGTAAGAAATTACCTGCTAGTAGATTACACACTATTTTCTTGAAAATAGTTCCTCAAATCACAGTATCAAAGAACACAAGGTGGACATTCAAACAGGGAGACTGCAAACAGCTGTGTTCAATGTTCCAAAAACATTGATAAAGTCAGCTATTTAACACCCCCAAACACACTTGCTGTTATATCCGTTAGAGCTCTTTTTCTTTTTTTTTTCCCCTCTCTTTTTTACAACAAAATTTACACATCTTGGATTTTATTACTCCTTAGTGCTTATTACTTTCTTTGGGGGGGGGGGGAAGAATACAGTCAAATATGGCAAAACAAAGCTGTCAGTCAATACCAAGGATAGACATAGCACATGGTGTAGAACAGAGTACAAGTTTATCAACAATGGTTATCAACGTTGTCCCTTGTTTCCTTAAAAAGAATTGTCTATCTTATTAGATATTATAAAGTTGGACAAAACAGTAGAGAACAAGACCAATAATCACTTAAAGTTATGGATTCAGGGTGCATTAATTTTCTTATAAGAGCAAGATAAAAGCCTGGAAATGGAAAACAAGGTAGATCTTTTGCAAATAGAAAGAGGAGTGAGAGATGTTGGAAGGGGAAGAAGGTGAAAGGAATGTAAAAAAATTAAATATGTCATGTACATTTACCAACTACCCATAATGAATTATAAATTATTGTTTTGCAAACACTTACCAAAGGAGAAAAAAAGTACTTGCAGGAAAAAAATTATAGGACTTCACACATATGAACTTTTAGAAGGCCATACCAAACAGAAAATCAGAAAGGCATGGAACAATCAGGGAAGATTATGGGGAAATGTTACAGAATGCTCCAGGAATATTTTTATGGGAAATAGATTATGGAATATTCTTGTGGAATATGTCTTTATCTTCCTGCTGTGAAGGTACAGGAAATACATACAGTGGACCAGAGATTGCAAACTGAAAGCTCATAAGGGTTTTTGCTTTGGTGATGCTAAAGTATAGTTTCTTATCAGTTATTTAGCAGCACTAAAAGTTCAAGATGTTTTATTTACAGTTCTGCAGTCCATGCTCTGGAAAAAGTGGGTCATTGGATCCATTTCTGCATGGCAGTGCTCAGTGGGTTGACATGGCCTCTACCCCCAAGAGATGGATTGCACACCCCACTCTCTTCAGCCTCGCCTCTCTGCTCCCTTATGTGGCACCACCTGTCAGGACCTCACAGGCTTTTCGGTTTGCAACCCAGAAGCAGAGCGAGTCCCTTCCAATATTCCTTGAGCAAAGTATCTCTAAATGATTATACCTGCCTCTTGGGTAGTTTCTCATAGTCATTTAGCCTCAGTGCTTGTTTGTTCTTGTTCACTGTGGAGCTGGTTGATCACCATTCTATCCACTCCTTCCTTGTCTTCGTAGATTTCCGCTATCATTCTGCATCCCAACTATGATCCCATACTGCTCGACTCTGACATTGCAATCCTGAAGCTTCTGGACAAGGCCCGCATGAGCACCCGTGTCCAGCCCATCTGCCTCGCTGCCACCCGGGACCTCAGTGTCTCCTTCCAGGAGTCCCACATCACTGTGGCTGGCTGGAACATCTTGGCAGATGTGAGGAGCCCTGGCTTCAAGAATGACAGCCTGCGCTCGGGGACGGTCAGGGTGGTGGACTCATTGCTGTGTGAGGAGCAGCATGAAGACCATGGCATCCCAGTGAGTGTCACTGACAACATGTTCTGTGCCAGCCAGGACCCCACCACCCCTTCTGATATCTGTACTGCAGAGACAGGAGGCATTGCAGCCATGTCCTTTCCAGGCAGAGCATCCCCTGAGCCACGCTGGCATCTGGTGGGGCTGGTCAGTTGGAGCTATGACAAAACATGCAGCCATAGAATCGCCACAGCCTTCACTAAGGTGATACCTTTTAAAGACTGGATTGAGAGAAACATGAAGTGAGTCCACTGGGAAGCTTCCGTGTGCATTCATCCATGCAGATGCTGCATGATGCAGTGTAAACCTGAAGTGTGAGTTTGCCCATGAACTTGGCTATGCCAGGGCTTATGATTTCAGGGACATAGCTCAGTGGCGGGTGATAGTGCTCAGTTTTTGGTAGGCCACAACCTTTCTGGCTGCTTGTGGAAGATACTAGAACTGAGCTTTTTAAAAGAAGACTATTGAGTAGACAAGAGAACCTCCCCATTCAACTGACCTGGTGGCCTTACAGCCACTCAGAAATACAACAATCCAGTCCAGCTGTGGTTGAGAGAGGGTTGATCTGGGGGGCACTCTGGGCTTCATGGGGCCTCTTTTGAAGCTCCAGCCAAACCAAGTTTCAAACACCCACCTACAGAACATTCCAAGGCAGTAGAACTTGGAAGCACATGCTTTTGTGTATATTGCTACAGTGCAATCAGGGTCTTTACCTTTCCAATTTCCTGTTCACATTTTAATAAAACAAGGGTTGGCTTACAACCTACAAAACCAATGTACTCTGCTCTCGTGTCTTCTTATTGTTTTTCTTTAATTGCCATGGATGGGGCAGACGGCTTAGTGATAGATCTTTATCACAGAGACAAAGGTTATAATTTCCCAATAAGTTTGTGACAAAGCAAAACTACCTTTTTAATACCAATCCTTGGATCTTGGTGAGTCAGAATAGAGGATGTGAGACACGGCTGCCATCAGATAGGACACAAAAAAGAAAATAATAGGGATTCACTGATTTTTTTTTTTTTTTTGGTCTTTTTTCCTTTTTTTCGGTACCAGGGATCCAACTCACGATTGCCTGCTTGCAAGGCAGGCGCTTATGCTGCTAAACTAAATCCCCAGCCCCGATTCACAGATTTCTAGTGTGCCCCTTGCCTTCTCATTTCCTAGATCAAACATAAAACTGCTTTTGTCTTCAGTATGTTTTTATAGCAACTACAGTCACATATAAGATATCATCAAAATAGTCTGTTAGTATTTAAATGAAAACATTTCATGCAGTGAAAGGCACATTGTCGTGAGTCCCCTCTCAAAATACTCCCCCTCGCTTCAAACACACTTATTCTGTCCTTCTTACCAATTTCTGAAGCAGTTCTACCAATCCTCTTTTGTGTTTCTCCCCAATGTGATTTAGAAAAAATACGGTGCATGCTGTTGCCAAGTGCCACCCAATGAGAGAACAGGCTCCTAAAAACATTGTGGTATGCATTCATGTCCCTTAGTTACAAGATATGGCACTGTGACTCATGGCTTGTCCCTAAAGTCTAAATGACTACAAAAAGTAAACATTTTGAATCAATTTAAGATATTGAGGCAGCCATGGCAGCACAACTAAAGACATTCATGAAAGAAGACTCTCAGAACCGCTTCAGAAAGTAGCAAGAATAATGTGGTAAATGCATTTGAGTCAAGGGATAGTATTCTAAGGGAGATTAATGGTTACCTGTCTTTTTCTAAAGTTTTGAAAATTTTAAATATTCATTGTCTTTTTTATTACATCTTGTATTTACTCACACCAGATTTCGATGTACTGGATCCTATAGCTTCACTGTTTTCTACTGTTTATGTCAGTTTTCTTCAAGGTCTCAAGATCAAATTCTATATCCCGCTGAGTAACAGAGGAAAACAATGAATTCAGTCCAGTCAAATATGGTAAGTGAAGTGACCTTTTCAGTGACTTATTCTTTCATTATTTTTCCTCTTGCTAGTTTTGTTTTTCTACAAAATGATGCCTTCGAGACCTGCATGTTTTGAATCTACGATGAGTCATCCTGAGTTCAAGTGATCCTTGGATGCATGCACTGGGTCTTTCCTATTCTTTGGCGATTTGTTAATATTTGGTGCTGGAGTCTGTAATTACTGCAGCTCATGTTCGATCTCTGCTTCGGTAGGGTTCTGTGGTCCTTTCTGCTGACCTGACTTTTCCTTAATTCTTGTGGGAATTGATACTCCTGAGATCCAGTGGTGACTCCTGTTGGCTCTGGTTTGGGTCACTCAGCCTCATGGCCACAGTGGCAACTTGTCTGGCTGCAGCCCAACCAGATTTGTCTCTCTTGTGGGGATTTATGGAAACTTCTGGATCTTTTCCATACCACACGAGAGTGGAGAAATCAGGAATCCTAGGAGACTCTAGACTCCTGTAGGCCCAAATAGGAACTTTACTGTTCCCTAGATCTGTCTTCAACCTAAAGGACAGTAGCCACAACACAGGAGATGAGGACACATTTCTCTCGCAGTCTGACTCCCTATCTCTGTGTCTTTACTAGCTGCCTGACCCAGAAAAGAATTAATTCTTTTCTCTCTTTTTTTGGTCAGGATTTCCTGGGGCTTTCCATATATCATATCTTCCTCCTTTCACCTTTCACATCCTCGTGGTTTAATATAAAAGCAATGTATTAGTTATCAGTTACTGATTACCAATTACTCAGCTCTTAGTGGCTTAAAGTGATGAATACTTATTCACTCACAGTTTTGGTTTGGTAATTAAAGAGTGGCTGTCAGCTGAAGCCTTGACTGAGGCTGAAGGATTTGAACCATTTATCAGGTTGCTGAAAGATTTTGTTTTAATCCTAGAAAACTTAGATCTCAAAAAGCATAATGGAAGCTAGGTCAAATAAATCTGAGTTTATATTCTTCTTTTTCTTTTTGGTATCAGTAATTGAACTCAGGATCTTGTGCCTGCCAGGCAGGAGCACGTGCCACTGAGCTATATTCTTGGTAATAAGTTTCCATTCTGGTCTGTCATCTTCTCTTCTTGGAGAATTCGTTAGCTTCTATACATCAGTTTTAGCTATATCAGCATGATAAGACTTTGGGTTGTTCTGTGGTAGCTATGATGATTAAATGAGATATTGTATAAAGTAATTAGTTTGTATTTAATATTATTTAGGGGTCTTAATTGTCCTCGAAAAGCCTATATGTTAAAGGTTTGGATGCCAGTCTCTGATGCTATTAGGAGGGAGTTGAAACTTTAGGAGGCAGAGCCTGGTGGGAGTCCATTAGGCATCAGAGGTTTGCCCGTAAGGGAGATACAAGGACTCCTCCTTTCTTCTTATTTGTCTGCCACTTTCCATGAGGTGAACAGCTTCCTCCCTCACACATTCCCACCATGACATACTGTGCCGCCAAAGTCCTAACGCAACAGGGCTATTTGAACATGGACTAAACCCTCTGAAATCATGAGCTAAGGGAAATCTGTCTTTATAAGTTGTTTGCGTCAGAAATTTTTGTCACAGCACAGAAAACTGACTAACAAATATGAATGGCATGTAGTTTGGTCCTGTAATACCTAGCAAGGCAGGATTAGTCCAGCTGAGCACAGATCCACAAAGCCTCCCCATCTGCCTCAGTGGGCACTTCATGCAGGGATGACCCCTCTCACATGCTCCACTGTGCAATGGCTTAGTCGCCCTATCTGGATCATTCTGGTACCCACTTTTTTTTAACATAGTGTTAATTATCTAATGGAATTTTTATTCTTGACTCAACTTTCCAGATTTGGTTTATATTATATCAGCTCAGCTATGACTCTGAGCCTCTTAGAACTTAATCTGTCCCCAGATCCTAAGATCTGCACCCCAGATCTTATTTATTAGCAGTTCTATGGTCACTTGCCATCACCCCTAGATCTTCGTATCTCTGCACTGCTCTCTTGGGCTATGAGTATTCAGTCTCACTAATCTAAGATTCCAAATTAGCACAAGAAAATCAGACTACATATGCTCACTGTTGGAATACATTCCATATAGGACCCTGAAGATGAGAGTTTTCCTTTTATCTAGGAATCTGGACTGTACATCCCTCAGAAGCTTTGGGGCAATCAGAACTCTTAAGAGTCACATACACTGCAGAAGTATAATGACCACGTAGAACTGTGGGCACTGGTGAAGATAAAGCTGTTTACCTTTGCTCCTGGTGTTTGATCTGAATCAACAGGTCCATCAGTTGGAAAAGAAATCTAAACAGGAAGTTAGCAGAGCAAGTACAAATAGGAACCTGTGAGGACAATGAAAATCCATAGTAATTTCTTGCTGCTTCAATGTCAGTGATGTGAGTGACCTACAGAGAAACTGGCACCCTTACCGTGAAGCTGCATGCTCACCTTCCAGGATTCAGAATAGGATTTCCAGTAGGTGCGGGAGGAGCTGCAGGCCAGAATGCTGTGCCCTCTCAGTGAGCTGAGCTGACAGATCAGTGATATTGTGTGTGAATGACCACAGTGTCTGATGGGGTCTACCAAATTTCAGGGTGTGGAAATATCTGTTGCTGCCAGGCATTGTAACTCATGCCTGTAATCCCAGCACTCTGGAGGCTGAGGCAGGAGGATCGTGGCAAGTTCCAGACCAGCCTGGGCTACAACGTGAGCTCAAGGCCAGCCTGAACTGCATAGCAAGACCCTGTCTCAAAAAGAGAAAAAAAAAAGAAAGAAGAAAGAAAGAAAGAAAGAAAGAAAGAAAGAAAGAAAGAAAGAAAGAAAAGAAAATATCTGTTGTTTCCTACTCATTTGCAAATCTCATATAAGTTTCTCTTGTGGCCACTTTTAACCTGGAACCATAGAGAGAAGGGAATTTTGCAACATAGTTTCAGTCTTCCTAAATTGTCAAGGAATTAGGCCCATCACAAGTCATAGAATCTTAGTCCTGGAAAAGTTGGTGTCAACTGAGGACACTTTTGGGGAAGCCAGAGAAGGGTCCTATTCATCCAGAACAGTTTGGTCCTCATTTGTTCCATAGTGGTTTGGTTTTCTATAAACACTTGTAACCCCTGATATCAGGTGTTCTGTCAGCTACACTTCAGCACCTAGGGCAGTGATGGCGAACCTGTTAGAGCTTTCAGTGATACCTGTGTGCCATAGGTTTGCCACCACTGGCCGAGGGGTTGGCTAGGCATTCCCAGCAAGGCTGTGGTGTTCTCCTCTTGATAATAAGTAAGTTCACAGAATCTTAATATAATTCTCAGTTATCCCATGACCAAGATACAAATGAGAGCACTTCATTCATGTGTAACAACAGACAATTCACAGGGCACTATGAAGACCACATAAAGACAGCCATACTCTCCAGTTCAGCACAAAAGACTGCTGATTTTCTACCAATTATAGCCTCTCTACAAATTTTTCTACCAGTTTAATATACTTTCTTTTTAGGTAATATTTATTAAAATAGCCTATTATAGAAATACTCCCACTTCCTGACAGCGCTCAATCTAGAACAAAGCCATACTTCCATGAAACCTCCACCAAATCACTTTGAAGCCCAAATCCTGTAAGTTCTAACACATTTGTGATGAGACACCTCTCAGTTTTACATGAAATTCACTCCTCTCCCTCATGGCAAAGAGCAGTAAATCCAACTTGTCCAAATACGTGTGTGTTTCTGGATATCTCTATCTATCTGTGTGTCCATCAATCTATTTTCAGAAAGGTAAATGGCTTGCCCAGATTTCTTCACCAGTGCCTCTAGTTCTATGTGGCTTATCTATCTATATGTATATAAGCTC